GCGTCGTAGTGGTGTGTATAAGTTGCGTCTAAGTGGAATGAGTGTAAGTTTCGTCGTGGTGGAATGTATAAGTTGCGTCGTAGTGAAATGTATAGGTTGCGTCGTAGTGGAATGAGTGTAAGTTGCGTCGTGGGGGAATATATACGGTGCGTCGTGGTTGAATGTATAAGTTGCGTCATGGTGGTGTGTATAAGTTGCGTCCAAGTGGAATGAGTGTAAGTTTCGTCGTGGTGGAATGTATAAGTTGCGTCGTAGTGAAATGTATAGGTTGCGTCGTAGTGGAATGAGTGTAAGTTGCGTCGTGGGGGAATATATACGGTGCGTCGTGGTTGAATGTATAAGTTGCGTCGTGGTTGAATGTATAAGTTGCGTCGTAGTGGAATGAGTGTAAGTTGCGTCGTATTGGGATGCGTGTAAATTGCGGCGTAGTGGAATGAGTGTAAGTTGCGTCTTAGTGGAATGTATAAATTGCGTCGTGGTGGAATGTATAAGTTGCGTCATAGTGGAATGTATAAGTTGCGTCCTAGTGGAATATATAAGTTGCGTCGTGGTGGAATGTATAATTTGCGTCGTAGTGGAATGTATTAGTTGCGTCGTGGTGGAATGTATAAGCTTAATGTTAGAGCTTAAATGTGAACGCTGAAAGTATTTACTGATTCCCTGTTGAGAAAGTTTTTGCCGCCTCTTAACACCACCACGCCATTGATATTTTATTGCTGGGAACTTTACCTACGAAGAAAAAACAATTGATAGAGGTGACTACACACACACACACACACACACACACACACACACACACACTTTTGAAAGAATTAATTATTCGACAGAACTTGTGCGTATATCTGAGTTTTATTTTTTGTTTTTTTCCTGATTTGAAAGAACGAATTTACGATAGCAAGAGACCTTACCGTTTTATTCTGCCTCCTGTGTTTTATTTAATTTTTTTTCATATCTTTTATTTATATATTTGTTTTCATTTTGTATTTGGTTATGTTATTTATGTTTAATCTTATTATTTTGGGTATTATTTTTTGCTGAACCATCCTAACGCTTTTGAGGGATGAGGTTAGGCTAAGTTAGGTCAGATTGGGGTAGTTCAGATCAAGTTAAGTCAGGTGAAGTAAAGTTAGGTTATGTTAAGATAGTTATAGGTTAAGTTATGTTAGGTTAAGTTACGTTTGGTCAGATTAAGTTAGGTTAGGTTAGGTTCTTCAGATGATTCCAAAAATGTATAATGTAAATATTTTGGTGTTTTGTATAGAAAAAATAAAAGACACTGGATGTTGGTAAATAAATAACAAGTATAACCAGGCTGTTGAATACTGATCAGGAGAGACGCTACAGCATCTGGGTGAGGGAGATGTGGGCGTGGTCAGGTGTAGGAGAAACGGTACAGGACCTGGGTGAGGGAGAATGTAAATATTTTGGTGTTTTGTATAGAAAAAATAAAAGACACTGGATGTTGGTAAATAAATAACAAGTATAACCAGGCTGTTGAATACTGATCAGGAGAGACGCTACAGCATCTGGGTGAGGGAGATGTGGGCGTGGTCAGGTGTAGGAGAAACGGTACAGGACCTGGGTGAGGGAGATGTGGGCGTGGTCAGGTGTAGGAGAGACGCTACAGGACCCGGGTGAGGGAGATGTGGGCGTGGTCAGGTGTAGGAGAGACGCTAGAAGACCCGGGTGAGGGAGATGTGGGCGTGGTCAGAGACGCTACAGGTGGCTGGCTTCCCCCTCCTCACGTCCCCAAGGGCTATACTGTATCAAAGTTAACGCGAAAAAAAAAGTAGCAAGGGAGAGGGTTAATAGATAAAGGTAGTTGAATATCACTTAACTGCAGGAGGAGGTTTAAAAGGATGGGAGGGAATTGTGTAGTTGAATGGTCAATTAGTGAACAGGTGTGGGCTGGTGTGAACAGGTGGGGATAGATGTGAACAGGTGTGGGTACGTGTGGACAGGTGGGAATAGGTGTGAGTAAGAGTGAGCAGGTGTGAACAGGTGTGAAGAGATCGTGGTTTGATTAAGTTTGGGTGAAGGAAATCGTGTGTTAGTTGAGAGAGAGAGAGAGAGAGAGAGAGAGAGAGAAAGAGAGAGAGAGAGTTTTCTATATCTGAAAGTTTATCTTTATTCTGATGAAACTTCCCATCCTGTTAGTAGAAAAAAATAAAATGTGAATTAGGTATTAAAAAAAATCGAGACGTCGTGGGGAAGGCGGAAGTTGAATAGGGTTGGATTATCTAAGAATTGAGATAGAATGGTGGATTGGATGCTTATGAACTTAGAAACAAGAAGTTGCTCTGAGTTATATAGCTACTTATACTATACGGGAAGGCATAATGAGGTGTGCTGTAGGTTATAAAGAAGCAATTGAACAGATGTGATAAAGGATGGTGCTGTTTTAAGGAAATTGGTCTTAGTACAGGTAGTCAGGGTGTGTCAGTAATGAGTATTGTACCTGTTTAGTCCTTTAACTGGGGGGTTGTTAAGGGGTTTTGTCCGGCACCCGTCCGTTTTATGCAATGTTAGGTTAGGTTAGGTTTACTACTCTCAGGCCACCAGATGTCAACAGATGACTCCACGCTGGTATTCTTATGCATATTAAACGTGTGTGTGTGTGTGTGTGTGTGTGTGTGTGTGTGTGTGTGTGTGTGTGTGTGTGTGTGTGTGTGTGTTACTTCACCTACACTTTTTTTTTAATAACCTTCCCCAGTTTCTGAAGTACAATACAAGATAATATTTATTTAGTAATTATCTATAAAAATAACTGAAAATACCAGAACTTTTTGTTACTTTTGTTTCTGAAGTTGTAATATTTTAATAATTGTATCAGAAAAAAATACAAATACTAAAACTAAAGGCGCCAACGGTATTTAAAATTTTACTGTGGGTGGACAGACGGATGAACGGACAGACAACAGGAGTCAGGCACATCGCAATACACGCATGAAATTGAGAGATGAAAGACCGAGGAGTAATGAAGATTTATTGGTAGGGACGGCTAGGTACTTACTCCCCCTAGTGTCTCGGAGTCATCCAGTTACCAAAGAACTCTTGGTAAATTAACTGTGTCCACTGTATACATTCGTGACCCACCTACAGGAGTTGTATATCGTGAGTGGCAGGGCTGTGTGTCGTGGACTGAGTGGCGTTGGGGGATCAATTTTCTCTGTTTTTTTTTTACTTTTTTTTTTGGTTGTTGAGGAAGTACATCAAGTCGATCATGTTAGCAGAGGATTTAATAGTATAGGAAAGAGTTAGTTTATATGTGGTGGTGGTGGTAGTGGTGTTGGCTGTAGTGATGGTGGTGGTGGTGTGTGTGTGTGTGTGTGTGTGTGTGTGTGTGTGTGTGTGTGTGTGTGTGTGTGGTTGAAATAGTGTTGGTGGTGATACTGGTAGTGGCAGTAGTGGTCTTGGCAATTGTAAAGGTGGTGGTGATAGTGACAGTAGTGATGATGATGATGATAATAATAATGATGGTAGTCATAATCATAATAATACATTGTTTACATATATTTTTCCCCTGCAACATTCATATATATATATATATTTTTTTTTACACTGAATTGTTAACAGTAGTTTGTTGGTCGTTTGTTGGATGGGTTATTTAATTATCATCTCATGGGTATTGATGACTCACAGCCGCCACGCTGTTGGTGATGTTGATGATGTTGGTGATGTTGTTGATGTTGTTGTTGTTAATGTTGTTGTTAAAGTTGTTATTAATGATGGTGATTTTAGGATTACAAATACATAAATATACCTGTATATAAATACGAACACTAACATGTACACAAACAATCAAAAGCTATGGCAGGTTATATAGATTGTTATGACATACATACATACATACTGTACATACATACATACATACATACATACATATATACATACATATATACATACATACATAATAATGGTTGCCCCTCTTGTAACGAAGATGGCCGGCCCAAGGGCCACCTAGGCGTGAATTTGCTTAAGGTGTAGAAGCTGTCGCCAACACCACACCCTAAGTTAACGAGCTGCATGACCCAGTGTCAAGGAATGTCCGAGAAGACCGGACAACTCGCCAACTGCACTGGCTAACCATTACCCCGGAATACGATCCGCAAGTCGATTAACATCCAGGTTCCCAATTACTGCTGGGTAGACAGAGGCAAATGGCGTAAAGAAACTTGCCTAGAGTTTCACCCTGCCCGGGGATCGAACCCTTGTCCGCTCGCTTGCGAGGCGAGAATGCTGACCATGGGACCACACACACACACACACACACACACACACACACACACACACACACACACACACACGAACAAATGCTGGACAGTGGGAAAAAAATCCTTAACAAGTCACATGCCCAGCGGACTGTGGTTGCCGCCGATGTGAACCTCACAAGCCGGGTCCCTGACGAAGATATACTGGTGGTGTGGATGAGTGACAGTGGTGGTGGATGGTTGATGTAGTGGTGGATGAGTGACAGTGGTGGTGGATGAGTGATAGTGGTTGTGAATAAGTGACACAGTGGTAGCGGATGAGTGATAGTGGTTGTGAATAAGTGACACAGTGGTAGCGGATGAGTGACACAGTGGTGGTCGATGACTGACACTGGCGGTGGATGAGTGACACTGGTGGTGGATGAGTGACAGTAGTAGTGGATGGGTGACAGATGAATAAATGAGGGACAATGGTGGTGGATGAGTGACACAGCTGAGTAAATGAGTGACAGTGGTGTTGGATTATGAGTGACCTAGATACGTAAATGAATGACAGTGGTGGTGGTGGTGGATGAGTGACACAGTGGTAGTAGTAGATGATGAGTGACAGTGATGGTAGTGGATGAGTGACACAGTGGTAGTAGTAGATGATGAGTGACACAGTGATGGTAGTGGATGAGTGACACAGTGGTAGTAGTAGATGATGAGTGACACAGTGATGGTAGTGGATGAGTGACACAGTGGTAGTAGATAATGAGTGACACAGGTGAGTGACACAGGAACACTCACCTTGGTTTTTCCCCCTAGATGGTCTGAAGGGCTGGCCATCCTCCCTGGTCCAGCGTATGTTAGGGCTGGGTACGCCCTCGGCACGACACACCAGCTTCACGTCATGCCCCTCCTGTACTGACACGTGTGATTGGCTGCTCTCCTCGTCCACGAACTGCGGCGGTACTACACTCCGGCCACGTCAGGGGGAAGAGAGGGACGTGGTGGGAAGGGGGTTTGAGGAGGAGATGGAATAGGAGGTAAAGGAGGAAACGCATGAGGTTGAGAGAGAGAGAGAGAGAGAGAGAGAGAGAGAGAGCACATAACATTAATACGTAATGCAGTATGTGGGTCGATCATATAATTTGCTATCTGATAACCTAACAGTTGCTTGTCGTAGATTATCCTGTAATTTACAATATGTATTATTCTACATAATATAAGCCAATTATCTTATCTACAGTTATATAGGTCAATTATCCTATCTAAAGTAATATAGGTCAATTATCCTTTGATTTGATAAGGTAAAAAGATATATTATTTGTTATTATTAAAGTTATAAGGATATTATTGTCTATCGTGTGAGGAAGGACACGTGAGAGAGAGGTGATGTTTTGGGGAGGGGGTGGATGACAGGTAAGAATGGGGAGGGGATAAAGGGGATGGGTAAGGGTTGAGAAGGGGAGGGGTAAGGGAGGGGAAATGGTGAATGAGGGGTAAGAATGGGAAGGGATAGATGAGAGGTAAGAATGAGAAGGGGTTGGATGAGGGTGGTGAATGAGGAAGGGGGAGTGGTAAGGAAGGAAGGAAGGAAGAAAGAAAGGGCCATGTCACCTATACCTACTTGGGGTCAACACACACACACACACACACACACACACACACAAAACAGCTCCACAGTAACTCACCAACCACCTGAACGTAGCCCACTTGGTTGATGACGGGTTCCATGTTCACCTGACACACGTAGTAGCCGGTGTCATTAGGCTGGACGTCCCGTATGTTGAGGGTCCAGGTACTGAGGTCTTCCTTGATGACCCGGAACCTTGGGATCATCGTGATGGTCGTCTCGTCGATGGTCAGCAGCATGACGCGGTTCAGGTGCATCCATGTGACCTAGTGGGAAGAGAGGTCAAGATGTAGGTTTAAAGTTTCAGGGGTGAGGCTATGTGTGTGTGTGTGTGTGTGTGTGTGTGTGTGTGTGTGTGTGTGTATGTGTGTGTTAATCTTTATGGTCGTGCATTTAACCCCATGGTCGTGCATTTAACCCCATGGTCGTGCATTTAACCCCATGGTCGTGCATAATGTACCGGTAGTGCGTCAGCCACAAGCATAAATCATTAGTTAATTACAGGGATAATGTTGATTAATGAAACAGTTTATGCAAATCACAGCGTTAAGTGGCAGTGTGTCAGATAATGTCACCTCGTGTGTGTGTGTGTGTGTGTGTGTGTGTGTGTGTGTGTGTGTGTGTTTGAGAGTAGTGTGTGTGTGTGTGTGTGTGTGTGTGTTTGAGAGTGTGTGTGTGTGTGTGTGTGTGTGTGTGTGTGTGTGTGTGTGTGTGTGTGTGTGTGTGTGTGTGTGTGTGTGTGTGATAGTGTGTGTGTGTGGCGTGTGTGTGTGTTTGTGTGTGTGCGTGTGTGTCTGTTTGAGAGTAGTGTGTGTGTGTGTGTGTGTGTGTGTGTGTGTGTGCGCGCGCGCCAAGTACTCTCCCAGCAGTGATGAACCAGGGAGGCCCACGTCACTGTGTCCCTCGGGAGCAATATTGCTGACAAACTGACCTATATTCAAGCTGGTTTTGGTCCTGGCCTGGTCCTAGTACCTGGTCCTAGTGCTTGGCCCCTGTTCATGGCCCTAGTGCCTGGCCCCTGTTCATGGCCCTAGTGCCTGGCCCTTGGTCATGGCCCTAGTGCCTGGCCCCTGGTCATGGCCCTAGTGCCTTACCCCAGGCCCTGGTCCGGGCACTCCGTCGTATATGAACGCAGACCAAAACAAATAACATAGGTGAAAAAGGTTGAGTCTGGCTACAAATTGTCGGAGCGAACAACTGCTGGCGATATTAAACAAGGAAGGGCAAAATCATTAGTTTGTGTCCTAACCATCAGCTATAAATTTCCTGCTAACTATATTTTACACATAGATAAATGTCCATTGAGAGCGCCCGGCAATAAACTGCTTCTGTCTGCTCTTGTCGATTAGTCATGGCGATATTATTTTATCATTAGTATTATACCCCGGCATGCGTCTGTGTGGGAAGAGGGGTTGTAGTATATATCAGTGTTGTCCTTGTTACTTTGTCTGTATGAGTGTATACATGCTTCCTGGTAGTCTTCAAGTACCATGGAGCCGTAGTGTTATGATGGAACTTCACAGAGTCATTATGTGTACCGAGCATGTTTTTGTATTTTTGACCTGAGTTTCATTTTGGTGAGGTTAGGTTAGGTTTTGTTTGGGTTTTAAGGTCATTTTAAGTACATAAGTTAAGTGTTTTATTATATATATGTGTGTGTGTGTGTGTGTGTGTGTGTGTGTGTGTGTGTGTGTGTGTGTGTGTGTGTGTGTGTGTTTTGATTTAATGATAACATGAGACGAATTCAACTTCCTTTAATTCTGGTATGTGTGGTTTAGTATATCGTTCAGGTATACATACATACATACATACATACATACATACATACATACATACATACATACATACATACTGTTCATACATACATACACAGTTTCGATACCACCTCTGCCACCATCACCACAGTTAACCACTAACATCTCGACAAAACATCACCACAGCTACTACCACTTTAACCACCACTACCACTACCACCAGTACTAGTATTAACCACGACCACCACCACTACCATCGCTTCAGTCACTACCACCTTTGCTATAACCATTTACTCACTACCACTACCCCCATTATCATCACCACCATCGCCACAACCACTCGGCATTACCACTGACCCCTCGACTACCACAACCACTACCACCACAACCTTTACCACTAACCCTTCCACTACCACAACCACCACAACCACTACCACCACAACCACTACCACCACAACCACTTCCACTAACCTCCTCCACTACCACAACCACCACCACAACCACTACCACCACAAACACTCCCACTGACACTCCCACTGACCCCTCGACTACCACAACCACTTCCCACTAACCTCCTCCACTACCACATACACCACAACCACTACCACCACAACCACTCCCACTAACCTCCTCCACTACTACAACCACCACAACCACCACTACCACCACAACCACTACCACCACAAACACTCCCACTGACCCCTCCACTACCACAACCACTACCACCACAATCACCAGCACAATACCACCCCCTCTATCCCAGAATACCAAGTTCTGTACCGTTCATACTCTGGGACATAGAGAATTATCTACAATATGAAACTTGGCCGTGCAATATTTGTACCTGTTCCCTTATAATTTATGTTCGTATTTGCATGTTCGGTAATCAACGGAACAGTGCGTGAAAATAGTAAGTTTTTATCAGTTAATATCATGTGATGAAATATTATGCATATGAGAGAGAGTTTTTTTTTGGGGGGGCGGTGGCACCTGTGTTTGTTCAAGTGAAGTCAGGGTGAAAGGAGATAACGTTGTCCTATTAAATGACACACACACACACACACACACACACACACACCTGTTGATATAGTCGTACTTATTCATTCCAAAGGTCATATTCCCCCTCTTTATAAAAAAAACAAAAAACAAAAAAAACAAATAACAAAACAAAGAACAATAAAACCAAAGGAGTGCGGTGGTCAAGTGGACACAGAGCTCGCCACGTATCCTAAAGGTCGCTGGTTCGTGCCCTAGTTTACTCACCTATGAATGGGTACCTGACTTTGTAATTAGGGGAAAGGAAAGGTGTACATAATCTTCTCCCCCCCCCTGGTGTGTACATAATCCCCCCTAGTGTGTACATAATCCCCCCTAGTGTGTACACAATCCATCTTACCCCCTAGTGTGTACATAACGCCCTCTACCCCTAGTGTGTACAAAACGCCCTCTACCCCTAGTGTGTACATAACCCCTTCTACCCCTAGTGTGTACATAATGCCCCTCTACCCCTAGTGTGTACATAACGCCCTCTACCCCTAGTGTGTACATAACCCCCTCTACCCCTAGTGTGTACATAACGCCCTCTACCCCTAGTGTGTACATAATGCCCCTCTACCCCTAGTGTGTACATAACGCCCTCTACCCCTAGTGTGTACATAATGCCCTCTACCCCTAGTGTGTACATAACGCCCCTCACCCCTAGTGTGTACATAATGCCCTCTACCCCTAGTGTACATACATACCCCGCCCCTCTACCCCTAGTGTGTACATAACCCCTCTACCCCTAGTGTGCCCCTCTACCCCTAGTGTGTACGCCCTCTACCCCTAGTGTGTACATAACGCCCTACCCCTAGTGTGTACATAACGCCCCTCACCCCTAGTGTACATAACGCCCCTACCCCTAGTGTGTACATAACGCCCTCACCCCTAGTGTGTACATAATGCCCTACCCCTAGTGTACATAACGCCCCACCCCTAGTGTGTACATAATGCCCTCACCCCTAGTGTGTACATAACCTCTACCCCTAGTGTGTACATAACGCCCCACCCCTAGTGTGTACATAATGCCCTCTACCCCTAGTGTGTGTGTGTACATAATGCCCTCTACCCCTAGTGTGTGCATAAACCCCATACCACCCCTAGTGTGTACATAACGCCCTCTACCCCTAGTGTGTACATAACGCCCTACCCCTAGTGTGTACATAACCCCCTCTCCCCTAGTGTGTACACAACGCCCTCTACCCCAGTGTGTAACCCCTTCTACCCTAGTGTGTACATTGCCTCTACCCCATAGTGTGTACATAACCCTTCTACCCCTAGTGTGTACATAACGCCCTCACCCCCAGTGTGTACATAACCCCTCTCCCCCTAGTGTGTACATAACGCCCTCTACCCCCAGTGTGTACATAACCCCTTCTACCCCTAGTGTGTACATAATGCCCCTCTCCCCCTAGTGTGTACATAACGCCCTCTACCCCCAGTGTGTACATAACCCCTTCTACCCCTAGTGTGTACATAATGCCCCTCTCCCCCTAGTGTGTACATAACGCCCTCTACCCCTAGTGTGCACATAATTCCATGCTCATGAATTGTTGTTTCTCCTTGATCACTGAGGAACAGACAGACAGACACTCATAAACATGGTATTTATTTTTCCGTGGTAATTGACGTTCTCTCTGGGGGGAAAAAATATATCAAACTTATTTTTCAATCGACGTAGAAGGCAAACTACTCCACGTCATTGTGCAATTTGTATTTTTATAGAAAGCTTTTATTATTTAAGCTCACAAGGCTAGCTATTTTAATATTCTTTTTGATGCGTCGAAAAGCTTTTGTAAAAGGGATGAGCGTAGCAAATTTCTCGCTCTTCAGAATTGACAAAAACGTGAATTTCCCAGTTGTAATCTCTTGTTATTTATAGGTATATTATCAGTTGATTAAGGGAGCTATATCATCACTATATTATTTCTGTGTTATATGATGATTTTACTGGACGATGGATATTTTTTATTTATTTTATTTATTTTTACGAGGGATGATTTATTTGAGTTCTTTATTAATTGATGTCTGTCTTAATCCTGTTGTCAAAGGTACACGATCCAATAGAGTTTTTTTTGTCACACGGCAGGTGTAGGTGTTAATTGATTATGTTAGGGTGATAATAGTAGTATACAGTTGACGCCTGCTGCAACACCTGTCATGGTAACGAACGAGGGAGGGAGGGAGGGAGGGGGGGGGTGCGTTTGACTCAGGTAATAATATTTAGTTAGTTATAATCTCTGTAAAAATTGGTATTGGTTTATTTCTTAACTCTTTTGTTTTGTTTGTGTTACGTGGAACTAATTTTATATATTGAGAGAAGTATTTGTACTGTATTAATGATTATCTTACGAGTATACTGTTGTCTTATGTGTAATTGTTTATAAGGTCAAAGGGTGTTGTAATTAACATGAGGTAGACGGATACTTTGGTCTGTCTGGGGGCTCAATGGATGTGGATTTTAATTCATAATG